AATCCTATTTTTAACTTTCCAAAATGGGCAAAAAAAAATAAATTTTTTACTCTCTGATAGTCAAAACATATAAAAAAATTATATGTTATATATGCATTAAAAACAATCAGAAAAAAGTGTTTTCTGTAAATTCGACCATGTGTCCACACATATGGACATAATTTTTCTCTAAAAGTACACCATATCAAAAGCTGAAACTTGGGTTTTTATTCTAATTAGGTTCCAATAAGCCCGAATAGCAAAGGGACATAAAAAAATACATGTAAAAAACACCTAAGTTGAAGTAATGAGGTGTTTAGTTAAGGCATTACGTTCAACAATTGTGTACAAAACTCTTTTCAAATGAGTAGAATTAACTTCCTGTAAATTTTAAGTTAACTACACTCATTTTACTTGATAAATTGACTGTTGGGTTTTAAGTTCTAAAACAATCGAAAAAACATTGCACTTCTGCATTTAAGAATAAGGTCAATTTAAAAATATATATATATATCTATTTTTTTTAATTTAAAACATGAAGACTTGGTTTCTTTTGTCATCAATTGACATTTGGTGTTGTAATGACAACATTTTTACTATAAAATTGGAAGAAATGTAATTAGTAGTTTATAGAGCAAAGACAAACTCAAACATAACGTAAAATTGTAAATCTAGAGAACCTGGTATTTCTTTCTTTCTACTTTGTCCATTTTATCCTGTTTTACACAAACAATTTGTTGAAATGACATCATAACTCGTCTATAGTCAGCTGTATAATAAAGTGCTGGTTCATTATTTAATGTGCAAATAGTTTTGCACGTACTTGCTCATTTTGTGTTGTTTTTTTATCAGTTCCCCCACTCTTTTTATCTGCAAACATTTCCTCCATCAGGAATTGATGGGAAGACCCCATAGGACGAGCTCAGGATGTTCTGCAGAGTGCAGCCACTATTGTCCTCAATGGAAAAGACAACATTTTTCAACAGAAAGTATGTGGGGTGATGCTGATCGAGAGGTAACTTTTTCCTCTCTTTTTAGAAATTGATAATACTTAAGAAAAGAGTCTTCATGAAATTTAATTTTGGTATACAAAGCATTATATGTCCATACTTGTTTTTTTGTTGCTATTGTCTATACTAAAATGGTTATGCTTTGATGACATTATGTTTGTGGTGAGTAGGTCTTTAAAAGGCAATTTATTTGCATGTGGCTGAAGTTTGAAAACATTAATATTTTAATAAAGAGCCAGAATGGTTTAGGTGCAGAAAGTCATGATTTGCTGCTACCTGGTAAAGTGTTTGCTACATTCTAAATTTAATTTGACAAATGTCTCTGTATTATAATGAGTTATCAATGTTTTTCATCCATTTTACTGTTAAAAAAACTGTACATTTCAATCAGACATCAAAGTGGGATGCCTTGTCCTTGAATCTTTATTTCAAATGTGAATATGCATTTGTAAGTACAGTACAGCTAGCATTGATTTTGATCCTAACACTATCTGATGTAGCATTAGGATTAATAAGTCAAATGTGCTGCTAAAGTGTTTGGACTTTAGCTTAAATTTACCAAAAAGAAAAATTCTATCAATTATTTTTTTCCCCAAACCTGTTAGACATTTTTACCTTTATCATATTAAGTATTATAATAATAAAAAAAACAAAAAAAATTTATATCTTTTATTTTAACAGAAGAAAGAATTGCATTTGAATTTAGGATGAGCATTTTTATTTTTTAGTTGGTTGAACTTTTAGCAACAGACTGTTTTTATTTTTTATGCCACTTCGCAATCAGACTCCTTTTCCACTCATTGTGCTTTGCTGAGATATACTAGACTCTTAAAATGACAGATGCCTTTGTCACTGTAAATGTACTTTATTTATTTATTTTTTTAATTGTTTGCACTTTGTTGTTGTACATTATTGTTGCTCAGCAAAAAAAAAAAACGTGTTAGCATACGTTTGAAAAACAAGGTATTTCTAAAAGCATGTATTTAAATAATTTATTAGCCATTACATTTAATAGAGGGATCATTATTTGGCTTTCTGGTGGTCTGTGGTTTGGAACAGACCTTTATGGACAGAATAGACCTCTTCTATGATCACTGGAAAAATGCTTTTCTGTCATTTCTGACCTTTTAATTATGTTTATGACGACTAATTTTATTTCTAGTGAAAATACACACTTTTGATCCAGTTAGTTCACGGCAAAATTAACATTCTATCATAATTGATAATTGATGTTTGCACAAAAGTGTGTTTCATGGATTTATTTTTATACAGCACAACAGCTGTTTTGGTAGAATGAAAACTCAAAACTGTGCAAACTTATTGTAGAGTGCAAAATTGTGAAACTGATTCAGTTCTGATTTCTGTGTACTTTATGGTTCCATTAGTTAATATATTTAGTAACATGAACAAAGAACTAGTTTTTGTACTAATTGAGTCGGGAATAGTTTACTATAATAGTTTAATGTAATCCATAGGGCTGTTGTATAAGACTGAAGGGCTTTTTGTAAGTGATAAAGTAGATCCAGGCAGTTGTTATCACAGAATAAACTCCTTCAGTCTTGTGCAACAGTACTTTTCTTTTTGTTGGGCTGCCGATAAGCCTGTCAGGCTGTAGTTTAGTACTGCTAGTGTTTTGTAGCCCTTTTTAGTACAGTTTTAGTAGCCCTTTATTTATTTATTTACTAGTGCTTTATACCATGTATTACATCTACTTTCTGTAATATGTAAAAATTTGACACAAAACATTGTTCTGAGCCAATTTATTAACAATTTACAATTTTTTTAAAGGCAGAGCTGACAGAAACGAAAACGACTGAAGAGCATACACTAACCTGTGTATTATTCAATCACAAGATAGTGTCAGCCATAGAGAGCCGTTGTATGAGACTGATTGAATTTATTCTGCAAAAACAACCTTCTGGGTGTACTTAATCCCACTTTTTATATGGGTACTTGCCACAAAAAATAAAAATTAGACACAAAACATTGATCTGAACCCTAATAGTTTATTAAATCTATAGTTAAAGGTGAGAGAGAAAAAATGCTGAATGGAGCATACACTAACCTACATATTTATTATTCAGTCATTAATCAATAGCATAAATATTGATGTGAACATACTGATAGCCAAGATTATTCATAATACTCGAATGAGCCTGTATTATTCAGTGGTTATTATCTTGAAAAAAACATACCATGGATTGTCACAACTGATCAATCACAATCAAGTACACCAGACAGCCATGTAAGAATCTGCAATGACTACCACCTGCATGTACTTTATCCCACTTATTACATGGCTACTTTCCGCAAAAGAAAACAATTTGACACAACATTGTGTTAAGCCATAATACTTTATTAAATCTTTAATTAAATGCAATGCTGACAAATAAAAATGGCTGAACGGAGCATACACCAACCTAGTTATTGGTCAGTCATAACATGGAAGCAGACAGTCAAAAACAGATAGATGTAAACATATTCATTGATGATCAAGATGATTCAAAGGATCAGGCCTGAGTTATTAGTTTCAGTGGTTTTTATCTGGGATTGTTACACGGCTATTTGGGATAGGTATCTGCAATTCCAAGGTATGTTATTTTAAGATAACAACCCTTGAATACAGGTTCATCCAGGTAATGAAAATCATCTGGACCATCATTGAATATGTTACGATTACATAAATATGAATACATTTCATGTATGTGATATGTGTTATACATCCATATACAGTTGAATGTAACGTTTCTACGTGTTATCCATCCATGTACAGTTGAAATCAAAATCATTAGTCCTCCTGTTTTTGTGTTTTTGTTTTTTCTCTAAATATTTCCCAAATGATGTTTAACAGCATTTTTTTTTTTTTTTTTTTTGCAAAATTTCCCATGTATTTTTTTCCTCTGGAGAAAGTCTTATTTGTTTTATTTTTGTTTGAATGAAATCAGTTTTTAATTGTTTTATAACCATTTTTAAGATTTAATATTATTAGCCTAAAGAACAAACCATTGTTATACAACGACTTGCCTAATCACCCTAACTTGCGTAGTTAACCTAATTCACTTTTAAATTGCGATTTAAGCTGAATGCTAAAGGGAATGGGACAACTGCATAAATAATAAATTACATGGAATTAACCCAAAAACAAATGAAAGGCACTTTACAAATGATAAATTTGAGACCAGGAATGAACAAACTGTCTATACTAATGTCGAATTGGACATTCTTGGTTAACTCATTTGTATTTATTGAATAACGAAGGCACCTAAATGTAATTACTGCCAAGCTGCTTTTACCATGAAACATTGTTGAAATGTGAAAGTTTAAATATAATTAGAGATTTTTTTTAAAGGAGAGTACTTTTGAACATTTTAAAAAGGTATAAAAACTATGTTTAGAAATTTGTAGAAAAAAATCTATACGTTATAAAATATATACAGCGGGCTAATAAGTCACGTGGGCTAATAATTCTGACTTCAACTGCATATGCTTGTCTGTCATGCCACTGTTTTAACTGTTTGACACCATTTGGATGAATGTGTGTTAGTTTCAGTAATTGTTATCTGGAAATAACATACCTTAGAATGTTGTGACTGACCAATCTATAAGAGCTGTGTACACAAACTAACAATGAATGACGTAATTTTCAAATATAAGGTAACAAATCTAAATAAATACTGCAATGTATTGATAAGTGTTTGTTCATGCTAGTAAATACAGTACTTGCTGAAACCTGTTTGTAAAGTGAAAATTACACTCAAATTGATAAAAAAAGAACTTCTATTTTTAAGAGGGTACTTACTGTACACTCATGGACAACCTGGGCTTTTTGGTAATATAGTCAACTGTTTTCTTTATGTAATTGTTTCCACTATTATAATGAAAAGCAAAGGTTAGGCATAGTGAGACATTCAAGGGGAGGAGGGAAAGCAACAGACGCACCAAAGCAACTAAATGGGGGGTGTGTCAAATGGCTCTGTGCACAGTGTGTGATAAACTTAGTGGATATGTCTATTTTTAACACGCCTCTCTCTGTCCTGTCAACATAGACGGCTGTGTTTGCACCATACTGTTCATTCAGGCCAGTGGCCCCAGAGGAGCCTGCAAGAGCCCAGCAATGCTGAAAGACCTTTAAGGGGTTGCAGACTTTTTACCTGCAGGGCAAGTGGAGGTTTGATGTGGACGTGGGTTGTGTCTCTTTGAAAACCCTAGAGACTTCGCTCTGTTTTTGTTTGGCCGTCAGTTGTGGACTTCTGAACAGGATATTTGGATTACAGCAAGAACCTGTGTGTACTGGGCTTTGTTCTGATCTTTCTGCTCTTGGACGTGTGGACCCAAAGGGGAAAAGTCCACAATGTCCAGTGAAGGTGATGCTGGAGGTCAGCCTTCCACAACAACCATCAGCACTGTGGCCGTACAAGCTGGAGACTCACAGATTGTTGTAGCCATACTCAAGGTATTTAAATGTAAACTATTCTACGATTAATTGAATTCTGTGCATATGACACTGGCAATAATTTAAATGGAGTTGCTTTTTATATCAGTTGTATCATTTTGCAGTTTTTTAAGCCTGCTTTAAGTTCTTGACTTGTTGAAAATTTTGTTCAATACATTTGAAATCATAGTTCTGTCAGATTTGAAGGATCAATAATTTTTACCCATTTGTTGTTCTAAATCAGATCATATCATGCAGTACAAATGAAGATTCAGAAAAATGTCCCAGCTGCAGTTTTATTTTAGCATTAATTGTAAAATACAGTACACTGAAAAAAATTGTTGAATTTACTAAATGTTTTTAAGGTTTAGTGGTAGCAAATACTTTATATACACTGAATTTAAACAAGCAAATTGTTGAACATTACTGAGTTGTATATGTTTAAATTAAACCCATATACATTGTTTTTAACCACATTTTACTAAAAATATTTTTGTAAATCCAATGAATCGTTTTTATTCTCAGTGTATGTAGTATTCATTATTTTTAATTAGCTTTCTTTTTTAGGTATTTTGTGTTTGTCTAATAAAGATGATAATAATAATAATAACAACAACAACAACAATAATAATAATAATAATCCATGTTAGAGTTAGTAACAAGTTAAGGAATGTCTAATTTAGTGTGAATTATAAACATGAGGAAATATTTAAAAGACCCCTTAAAAATTCTCAGTTTCTTAAGATTCCCTGGGTATATGGTATGGGCTTGGGTAAAGTGTTTGATTATCTTCTAAAGGTCTGATAACATTTCTTCCCAATTTCAAATACAAATATTATTTTCATTGCATTAACATTTAATGTAATTTAAAAAAAATCTGGGTTATTCACTCTTCTGAAGTGAAAAAAAATGGTTTGTTTTCTTTAGACAATGTTTTTGTTATTTTATGCCAAAATGCTCTAAATGAATTAGCTTACAGTAGCTTACAGAATAAAGCAGAAACTACATTGTATATACAGCTGAGGTCAGAATTATTAGCCCCTTTAATTATTAGCCTCCATGTTCCCCCTATTTCTGTTTAATGGAGAGAGGATTTTTTCAACACATTTCTAATAACCGATTTTTTTTAATCTTGATGATGACAGTAAACATTTTACTAGATATTTTCACTAGTATTCAGCTTAAAGGGTCATTTTTACTAGGTTAATTAGGTTAACTAGGCAGGTTAATTAGGCAAATCATGTATAACAGGGTTTATAAACTATCGAAAAAAAAGGGGCTAATAATTTTGACCTTAAAATGGCTTTTAAAATTTTTTAAATGTCTTATTCTAGCCAAAATAAAAAAATAAGACTTTCTCCACAAGAAAAAGAAAATCAGAAATACTGTGAAAATTTCCATGCTGTTAAACATAGTTTGGGGAATATTTAAAAGAAAAAAAAAATCAATGGGAAGCTAATAATTCTGACCAACTGTATGTATTTAATTGTTAAGAACAGTTACTGATTTGTAATACAATAGCAACACTGCAGCTGCTGTTCTCTTAGCATAATAAGTGCACATCACCTGGATTTTGTGATGTTCACTGATTTATCAAAAACACTATTTTAAACACGGAAAGAAGCTTACTTACACTAGTGATGTCATGAGCGCGCAGTTTAGGTTGTTCAACACACCCTTGGCTTGCATTATCAATAAAACCTTTGTGTTTTGTTTCCATAAGAGACTTCCATGGAGTGTGAAGTTTCCATAATGCCTGGCGTAGTGACTTAATGGGCAAGTAAAAACAGCTGGGAGTAAAACACAGAGCTCTATAATGATCCAAACAACTGATGGCCTGAATTATTCATAATGACTCTCTGTAATGACATGACTAGATTTTAGACTGAAGTTATTGTCTAAAGTGTACTGGTTAGTTGGTACTACAGATTTCATGTGGTTTTTCCGAGGAAGATATCAAGCCGAACAAAATTTCGATCTCTTGTTGTTTTTAACCTATATTCTGTGAACATGTGTTCAGAAAGCTTTTAAGTAGTCCATAAAAGCTTGTCTTCTAAGTAGGGCTGCACAATATATCGTTTTAGCATCGATATTGCAATGTGTGCATCCACAATAGTCACATCGCCAGATATGCATTAAGTCTTAATTTTAGTTGACCAGGAGCTACAGAATTGTATTTAAATACTGTATTTATACAGAATTTATACAAACTGTTTTTTTACTTAGAATTTTTGTCTTGTTTCTTGTCCAATTACCCACATTTCAAATCCAAAACAAGATTATTTTACTTCACTGGGGTCTGTTCTTCATACGTGGATTACTCAGTTAGCTGGATTTGGTTATTGACGATTTGACACGATCCAGGATTGTTTGTTTTTTCAAAACTAAGTTGTTGTCATAGCAACAGTTCTGGTAGCTCAAACCTGCTAGGGAGCAGGCTAATTTCATGGGCACAGGATTAGATAGAGTCAGTTCAAGCAAAGATAATTCTAAAAGTATGTACCAAATTCTTATACTTTCTTACAGTAGTACCAGTAGTTATACACTTGGGAAAATAGTAAACATATATATATTTTTAACTATATATATATATATATATATATATATATATATATATATATATATATATATATACACACACACTCACAACAGTTCTGTCTGCTTCTCAAATCTGATTGGCTGCAATATCAGAACTCCTACAGCCTCTTTACCCTTTGTGTATTACTCCGCCCACATACAGCCAGCAAAAAGCAGACACGACAGATTTAAAATTTAAAAGATGCATGCTCAACTGTTTAACTGTCAGCTTATGATTTGAATCCGGAAGAAAGTAGTTCCTCATACAAAAGGGTTTTTGAGACTCTCCATGTTTGATTTTGTTTTTATATACACAATTATGCAGTCAAACTGTTGTATGAACGCAATATCACACGAGTAGCAGTGGGATATGGCTGTATATCGGCACTGGTGGGGGCACTAAGACTTTTTAAAGTTAAAAATATATAAGTTAAAAATATATATATTAATAAAACTTATGCAATCTGCACTCCGAAATAAAAGTACAAAGACTACCACTTGGTGGTTCAAAGAGAATTTATTGATATGAACTTTTTAGATCTCTTTAGAACAATTTGTGTATTATAATAGATATGCACAATATGTGACTTTTTTTTTAAGCAATAATACATTTATGCAGTCATGCACATGTTTTGAGCTGTCACCTAATATGAAGGTGATTTGATGCTTCACAAAAGTTGCAGATGCCTTTACCAATATCAAAATGCTTTTGTAAACATACAGTTATTCTTTACATCGATTAAGAAACCGGCTACAATAATACCACTATGCCTACTTTAATCAAGAAAAAAAAAACACTCTAACTGTAAAATGAAATAATTAGCTCAAAGGTGGAATGTTATTGCGCATCATATTTAACAAACCGTTTACTACAGATTTTGTGTAATTTTGCTCACATTGGTAATTGAATATTAATCAGATGATGTCATTACGCTTTTGTGCCGTCAGCCAATAGTTGCATTGCTGATCATGATTTCGAGGATCAATAGATCTGTCCTTCACAACACGCGCAGCGACCTCAGATCAGTTTATCAAGACATTTTAATCTGATTCATGAACTTGTTTGAAGAACCAAACTAGCCAGAGAGCAGTTATCAAGATTAAAAGATCCTGTTTGTTTTAAAGAACATTAATTTTGCCTTATTTCTTCTAAAGGTGAAAACAAAACAATATTCCTTCTAGATCCAAGAATTTTTTGATATTTTGACTAGTAACGAAAGAAAAAATCACTTTTTTATTGTGACTATTTAATTCAGATTGAATTTTACATGTATTTATATTTAAACACAATATATTTTAAATCATTTGATACCTAAGGAAACAGTAAATTGAAGTATTTATTTACCAATAATCTTCCCTGTCCTACGTTTTTAGATTTTCCACCTTGTTGTTTATATGGCAAGTTTTAAAGCAGTTAATGCAATTTTGGTATTAATAAATACCATAACATTCCTGCATAGCACACTGTAGAAGTGGCCTTAATATATACACAGATAATTAGCCATCATCCCACATACCTGAAACCGTATTTTTGCTTTTGTTTAACAAACTTGACAGGCTGTGGCAGCTGTGGAAGCTTTACATTTCATTCGGTCTCAGAATGGCTCAGAATCTCGTACTTGCAAATTGCAGTGCGATTTTAAGATCAGCACAATTTGCATGCCAAAGTTTGCATTGGGACTTGCAATAGATCGGATGAGGACTAACAGAGGGAGCTTTGCATTGACATCAAAGTCCTTTTTGGGCAGGAGCCAGTGGAGAGAACCTGCTTTCAGTCTTGTTTACAGTCTGTCAAATGCAATTGAGGCCACGTGGATACAAGAGATGCATGTACAGTAGCACAGCCATACATTAACACCTCTCACTCTCACTCTCTGTATGTGTGTGTTTTAAAGTGTGGGGAGCTGGTGCATATACAGCTGACTGAGGCACAGCCTAACCTCCTGGAGATTGGAAACAACCAAGATGAGACCAAAAAGCTTCTGCAGGAACACGAGCAGCTCCTTGCCAAACTTAAGGTGATCTCAAACAACAATAATAATAAATATTTAAAGCTGCAACAGCTGTGAAAGAGCCTTTGGACCCAGGCTCACTGCCTTAGGTTGCCAGAGAACAGTTTTCAATAAGCATTCTGCCAAAAGTTTGTAAAATATGTCAAAAGTTATTGATATATACCAAACTTCCTCTGACAGCAGGTGATGATATGACTGTTGCTGAATGTTGGTATGTACATGTCTTCAGGTCAGGGCTTTATTAACCCTTTTACTGCCCCACCAAGAAAAACATTTTTGATTGCATTTTTTAACTCCTAATGTCACTAGTTAACAAACTTAAGGCATTTTATTTTACAGACATTACATAATTTTAAAAATATAAGTCTTTACTAAAATGGGTTTATGGTAAGTACCGTAGTAAATACGTACAGTATGAAAATCAGAAGATATAAAATGTAAGAACAATTTGTTTAAAAAAATAATCAAAATAAAACATTTTTGAATAAATATTTTATTTTTTGAAGTATATATATATATGTATGTATGTATGTATATATATATATATATATTCATTCATTCATTTATTTTCTTTTCAACTTGGTCCCTTTATTAATCTGGAGTCGCCCCAGCGGAATGAACGAACAACCTATTCAGCATATGTTTTAGACAGTGGATGCCCTTCCAGTTGCAACCTATCACTGGGAAACATCCATATACACTCATTCACACACACATACGCTATGGACACATTTTAGCTTGACCAATTCACCCATAGCGCATGTCTTTGGACTGTGGGGGAAACCAGAGCATCCGGAGGAAACCCACGCCAACATGAAACTCCACACAGAAATGCCAACTGACCCAGCTGAGGCTCGAACCAGCGACCTTCTTGCTATGAGGCGATTATGCTACCCACCGTGATGCCCTTAAATGACTTTGACAATTATTATTTATAGTTATAGTAACTTCCTTTCTCTTGGCAAAACATAAAAATTTGTCAGGCTACCATGCTCCACTTCAACGAAAAGTCAAGATCTTCACAATTTTACTTCTAAAAAGTCTTTAATTTAAACTGCCTACATTTTGGTGTTAATCTGATTAAATATTTAGGAACTTATTAAAATTCAAGGCCTAAATTAGCAAAAAAATAAATAAATAAAATATCCAACTTCCTGTTAGGTTTCAGATTTCACTCCAGGAGACTTTTGCAGATATTCTGCCATTCTGTGTCAATTGTTACAAGTATAGAAACAAAGCTTAAAATGCAATTTGTCTGGAGTGTTTATAGGTTTGTCAGTTTTCTAGCATGTTTAGACCCTTAAAAAGGACTTTGGAATTAAAATTATTAATAAATAGGGCAACTGCTGGACCATAAAATAGATAATAGATAGATTTTAATTGATTAAGTTACACCAGACAGCCAATCAGTGGTGTCATACACCACTGTTCAAACTCTAGGAGTTAATATTAATATTTTAGAATGGTAAAAAGAATCGTTTTATTGTGCAAGGGTGCATTAAATTGGTCAAACATGATGGGCAAGACTGCATAAAAATCTATTTCAGCAAATGCTTAAATGTTATTCTTTTAGTTTGTCTAGCACAGGGGTGTCCAAACTCGGCCCTGGAGGACTGGTGGATCCCAATCAGACACACCTGGGCTTGCTAATCAAGCTCTCAGGCTCTATAGAAACATCCTTGCATGTGTGTTGAGGCAAGTTGGAGTTAAGATTGGCAGGACATCAGCCCTCCAGGACCGAGTTTGGACACCCCTGGTCTAGCAGAAGAGACATTTGTTAAATATAGAATTATTAGCATTCCAACCATTTACATTGTAATATTAATCATAAAATACAGAAATAAACATATCTAGCATAAATGGGAGTGTTAGTCTGGTCCTCAAACACCCGATTTGAATGTTATCACTTGATTAAACAGGCATTATCACAGGCTATCAGCTGATAAATATAGACCAGTAGGGGCCTTTTGTGTCTACTAGTAGGCTCAGAAGGCTGTAATCATCCATCCACATGGTGAATCGACTATAGGTCACATACGGCTGAGGCGGGAGTTAACAAGAATTATTTATATTATTTATGTAAATTTACTGTTAAGTGTGTTTTATTGATGTCTACCCCAACTGTAAACAGATCTGGATCTGCAGTTGTCTCTATTAGTATAGATGATTAACCATGAGTTTTATTTAAACTCGTGGTTAATCATTAGAGTATTATTAATATTTAACATCTACCCCAACCACAAACCCAAAAGTCACAGTAATGTTAAAGCAGATCTGGATCTGGAGTCTTCTCTATTAGTATAGCTGATTAACCATGTGATTGGATAACAGCTCGCTGAGCCTACTAGTAGGCGCAGAAGACCCTCTACTGGCCCATATGTGCTGATATTCACTGATAATGTCCATTCATTCGAGTGATAGCATTCGAATCGGCTTCTTCAAAGAATAACGAGATGAGTATTTACAGCATTTCCATTGAGGTTTTTGTTGTGGTTGTTGGAGGCATCATTATAGCTCCTCAGCTTTAATGCCTGTTTAAGACCCAGTTTAACGTCAAGGTTCTACAGCTGAGCATTTTTAATATGACTGTTATAAATCTGCTCTCTTCAATAGGTTGATTTCATTCAAGATCAAAGCTATTCAATTATAAAGATATGCATAGAGTAGGGCGTGACGGTGGCTCAATGGTTAGCACTGTTGCCTCACAGCAACAAGGTCACTGGTTCGAGCCCTGCCTGGGTCAGTTGGCATTTCTGTCTGGAGTTTGCATGTTCTCCTTGTGTTTGTGTGGGTTTCCTCTTGGTACTCTGGTTTCCTCCACAGTTCAAAGACATGCCCCATAGTTGAATCGAATAAACTAAATTGGCCGTAGTGTATGTGTGTGCATGCGAAAGTGTATGGGTGTTTCCCACTACTGGGTTGCAGCTGGAAGGGCATCTGTTGTGTAAAACATATACTGAATATATGGCTTCATCAGACATGGACCTTCAGCATGCACTGGGGCGGTTTGCTGCCGAGTGTGACGCGGCTGGGATGAGAATCTCCAAGTCCAAGGCCATGATGCTCCACCGGAAATAGGTGGTTTGCCATCTCCAGGTTGGAGGAAAGTCCTTACCCCAGGTGGAGGAGTTTAAGTATCTCTGGGTTTTGTTCACGAGTGAGGGAAGGTTGGAACGTGAGATTGACAGGCGGATTGGTGCAGCGGCAGCAGTAATGCGGTCGATGTACCGGTCCGTTGTGGTGAAGAAGGAGCTTAGCCGAAATGCAAAGCTCTCGATTTACCGGTCAATCTACGTTCCTTCTCTCACCTATGGTCATGAGCTTTGGATCATGACCGAAAGGACAAGATCACGGATACAAGCGGCCGAAATGAGTTTCCTTTGAAGGGTGGCAGGGCGCACTCTTATGGATAGGGTGAGGAGCTCTGATAAGTCGGCTGTTCATTCCACTGTGTCATTCCCTGATGATTAAAAGGACTAAGCTGAAGGAAAATGAATGAAGGTATACATATGGTAAAAAGAAAGGACTTTTGAATTGTAATTAATAATTTATTTTTTATACCGCCAGATTCGCATGAATTGGCGTTACTTCTGACAGACAGTATGCCACACAAAGTGATGCTTGCTAACAGCTTTGAGCTGCCTTCAGAATATTGATTTCATCATACAGTTACATGCCATAGAATCATTTCCATGCTATATTTGAAAGTATAAGCATCAGAACCGCCATCTGACCAAAGGAACTACATACCCAGAAATAAGAGACTGCAGCCTTTAATCAGAGCAAACAAAGTCCTCCATGCACCACAGTTAAAACAGCACCGCGCATTACTGAACATTTCATCATGTACTTATATGCATCTGCCCACCAGACGCCTCTAATCAGCGTGGGAACTGCTTCTTGTTTACAGTTTAAATAAAAGAAAGAGCTGTGCACATTGAATATGCTAGAATGCTGTGCTGGGGGCTAATAATTGAATTTCAATTTACCTCAGAAAAATGAAGGAGGTGTGTGGGCTTTGCTGAAGGAGGCTGATAAAACAGCGGCTCAGAAGGAAGGAGAGGAGCTGGTATATAAGGCCATGGCGGTCTCTCTCAGCGAGGCTTGGACAACACTGGTGAACCACCTGGAGAAGAGGAGATCACTGCTGGTTTTGGCATGTCATTTCTTTGAGTGTGCTTTGGAGGTAACGTTGACTTTCAATTTTTTTTTGTAGCAAATTTTATTAATAATGTTCAGTTGACTATATACAAGGTTAAGGAAAGTTTATTTTAAACTCTTTTTAATTCATCTTTATTTCTATACTACTTTTACAATGTACAGTGCATCCAGAAAGTATTCATAGCGCTTCACTTTTTCCACATTTTTTTATGTTACAGCCTTGTTCCAACATGGATTAAATTGATTTATTTCCTCAATTCTACACATAATAGCCCATAATGACAGTGTGAAAAAAGAGTTTTTGAAATTGCTGCAAATGTATTAGAAAAAAAGACCCTGAAAAATCAAATGTACAGAAGTATTCACAGCCTTTGCTTAATACTTTGTTGGTGCACCTTTAACAGCAATTACAGCCTCAAGTGTTTTTGAATATGATGCCACAAGCTTGGCACACCTGTCTTTGGGAATTTTTGCCCATTTCTCTTTGCAGTACCTCTCAAGCTCTATTAGGTTGGATGGGAAGCGACGGTGTACAGCCATTCAGATCTCTTCAGAGATGTTCAATAGGATTTAGGTCTGGGCTCTGCCTGAGTCACTCAAGGACATTCACAGAGTTGTTGTGAAGCCACTTCATTGATATTTTGGCGGTGTGCTTTGGGTCATTGCCCGACTGGAAGACGAACCGTCGCCCCAGTCTGAGGTCAAATCTGAACTCTGAAGCAGGTTTTCATTCAGGATGTCTCTGTACATTGCTGCATTCATCTTTCTCTCTATCCTGAATGCCATCTGGCCACTCTACAGGCCTGATTGGTGGACTGCTACACAGATGGTTGTCCTTCTGTAAGGTTCTCCTCTCTCCACAGAATCATGTTGGAGCTCAGACAGAGTGACTATCAGCTTATTGATCACCTCCCTGACTAAGGCCCTTCTCCCCTGATCACTCGGCTTAGATTGTCGGTTAGCTCTAGCAAGAGTCCTGGTGGTTCCAAACATCTCCCACTTACGGAGAATGGAGGCCACGGTGCTCATTGGAACTTTCAGAGCAGCAAGATGTTTCTGTAACCTTCCCCAGCTAGTGCCTCGAAACAATCCTGTCTCAGTTCTACAGACAATTCCTTTGTCTTCATGCTTGGTTTGTGCTTTGAATTGCACTATCAACCCTGGGAGCTTACATAGACAGATGTATGCCTTTTTAAATCATGTCCAGTCAACTAAATTTACCACAGGTGAACTCCAATTAAGCTGCTTACATCTCAAGAATGATCAGTGGAAGCAGAATGTACCTGAGCCCAATTTAGAGCTTCAAGACTAAAGACGTTATTAATACTTTCCAGATGCACTGTATACCCATGCAACTTAAGAATGGTTTTGTGGTCCAGGGTCACATATTACAATCTTGAGCTACTTCTTAAAAGAAACTTAATGTGGTACTTAATTTTTCTTACTTTGAGGTAAAGTGATGCATTACATTAATATTGTGTTTTTCGTCTGGCCTGGGCTTGCTCTATGTATTGCTCCAATATTTTTTGGGAATTAAAAAGTAATGTTTTACTTTACTAATTAATTAAAACTAGTTACAACGGGTGTACTCACCTTTATTAAGTGAGTATTGCTTTTTACAGAGTAATGCAATAAATGAAAAGAATTATGTGTTATAAGTGTAATTAATTTGTGCATAATAACTTAACAAATAAAGGTCATTATAATAGTTTTGCAACTTTTCCCAAATGTAACGTCAGTATTTTATAACCAGCAGCTTTTCTAAACAATTTAGGGAAAAAAATGGTCTCTGATTATTAAACATGCTGCAGGGAGTGCTCTACACTGTGTACTGTATTAAAGCAATGTTTCTGTTTAAAAGTGCAATGGATGGTTTTTGTTTTCACAGCTTTAAACTTAGGAAACATGGTGCTATTTGATACTCAAAGAAAACATAATACTGTCTATTTGTTCATGATTTTTTACAAAGTGAGCCACTGTTTCCCTAAATTTTTTGCAATCTGAAACATGTTTGTCACATTACTTTGCTATCTCCCTTAGCCAGAAATTCTTGATAAAAGATCATCATCATCAATGGCACACGCAGATGTTTTGACGGGATCAAAAGGCAGTGGTTGTGTAAATAAACTCATGAGGAAAACAAATATTGAACATCTTTCAGAACAATATTAGTTTCACTGCTAACATTTCAACAGATGTGCTTCCTGCTGTATTAGTCTGATGATGTATGTCGGCTGCATTCAGTTGTTGAAGGTTGCTGCTGTCATTTACATAACATGATAGTTGTCATTCAACAAAAAGTGGTTATGCAATGGTTGTGTGTTTCCAAGCAGATGTTGAAAAACAAATGTGACAAAGCAGAATCAGACAAATGTAACTGTTAAAGTTACATTGTTTCCATTAACAACAGATTTAGTACTTTAGAAATAACCACCACACCAAATATTTAAACTTAAATCAAAAGTAATACAGGTACAAACAATAATAGTTTGGCGACTAGTAACAGCATTTATTTATTTATTTATTTATTTATTTATTTTTGAGTTGACTGAATTATTTATTAAATGACAACTATCGATATTTGTACATGACTGGTCACATGTTTGTGATTGCCCTGTATATTTCTTCCTACATTCAATGCAAACTTTTATTTTGATGAGTTATTTTGTAAATATTTATGCTGTGCAGAGATGGTAAAATAAATTGGTTATCAGAAGTGGTGGGAAAAGTTACTTTTGAAAGTAATGCATTACAATAATGAGTTACTGCTCAAAAAATGTAACTAGTTTTGTACTTTATATGGAAAGTAATGGGTTATGTTACTTTTGGGTTACTTTTCCATACCTGACTGAGGCTTGATCTCTTTTAAATAGAGGAGCTCTGCATTTAACAACACACTGTATAACCTACACCTGCATTTACCTTTAAAAAAAGTAATTAAAAATGAGACTAATGTTACATTCTGAGAACTTCCTGACCCAAGAAATATACATGCTGTATATACAGATTAATGAAAGTTGAAAGGGTTTACTACTTTTGTATTTTTGTCTTATTAGTTCAGTAAAATCATTGTCCACTGAGACAATCCCCTTTTCTTCCATGTGTTCAATATAATGAGAAAACTTCCATCACATAAATGTAACGCTCTGCTATCTTGTTTTCTGTCTGTAGGGAGCTTATTTTCTCATTGAGTGTGATTCAACATGACTACACTAATTTTATTTCAGCAAATCTTTTTTTTTTAAAAGCAAATAAATCTGAAAAGTAACTCCTGCTGTTAATTTCTTTCAATAGTTTTTTTAAATAAGATTTTCACATATTTGAAGCAGCAAAGTTATTTTCTGAAAGAAAGTAACATTGCAGGGTCTATAGGACAATGCGGACAGTATTTTTGGCGGCAATTTTTGTAGCTAAACGTATAAGCAATTAGTCATTCATTTACAAAACAGCAGTATTTACTGGTTATGAAAATGGAAACATTTAAAATTGGTTTTAAAGTGCATGTTTTTGAAAACGATACTGTCACCATCCCTGTGTAAACTTAAAAAAAATATATGTAAATATATATACATATAGTTGAAGTCAGAATTATTAGCCCCATTGTTTATTTTTTTCCCCAATTTCTGTTTAATGGAGAGAAAAAATGTAACATTTCTAAACATAATAGTTTTAATAACTCATCACTAATAACTAAATTATTTTATCTTTGACATGATGACAGTAAATAATATTTGACTAGATTTTTCAAAACACTTTTATACAGCCTAAAGTGACATTTAAAGACTTAACTAGGTTAATTAGGTTAACTAGGCAGGTTAGGGTAATTAGGCAAGTCATAGTATACCGATGGTTTGTTCTGTAGACCAGTCGAAAAAAAATGATAGCTAAGGAGCTAATAATTTCATCCTTAATGTTTTTTTTTTTTTAATTAAAAACTGCTTTTATTCTAGCCAAAATAAAACAAATAAGAATTTCTCCAGAAAAAAAAAAATATTATCAGACTTACTGTAAAAATGTCCTTGCTCTGTTGAACATCATTTGAGTAATATAAAAAAATAAAAATAAAACTGTTTTTTTTTAAACTTACTGATTAAATACTTCACAGCTTTGGTGAGCACACAACACTTGCATATATAGGCACTTTTACCCAAAGAAAATTTAGAAATGAAGAAGCTAATACAAATTTCACAAAAAGCTCTATTCCAGGGGTGCTCAACCCTGTTATTGGAGATCTACTTTCCTGCAGATTTCAGTTGAAACTCCTATCAAACACACCTGACTGTAATTATCAAGTGCTGTTCAGGTCCTAATTAATTGGTGCAGGTGTGTTTGTTTAGGGTTGGAGCTGAACTCGGCAGGATGGTAGATCTCCAGGAACAGGGTTGAGTACCCCTGCTCTATTCTCAGGTTTATTAGATTTAATAATGTTCAAAACTGTGGACCACAACCTTTAAATGCTTGTATTGAGTTTATTCATAGTTTTGAATTATAATTTATACAGTTTTCATGTAAGACTTTTCTGCTACTTTTTGAACTTTTTATAATTACAGTTTGCCATCAGGATAGATGAAGCTGAAGACATTCAGAGTGTTAGCCAGAAGTCTGCAGTCACAGACAACTTGAATGAATTGGTTCAGAGACACAGCGCTATTAGAAGAGGTAAGATTTCTGTTTCTCACTTCTGTCTGTCTTTCATTCTATAATTGACCATCTGAACACCTACTCACCAAAAACCTTTGCAACTCCCTAACAATGGCTTAAACTTAATGGCTTGAACTTACAGAGAAGTAAAAGTAGGATTAAAGTCTTTTATAGGATGTTTCTGAGTTTGCGGAGGTTCGCTTTGCGTGTGCACAACATGATTTCGGCCATCAGAGCGCATGTTTTTTTTGTTTTGAGACTTGAGCGAACTGTGTGCGCATCGCTGCGTTTGAGTTGAATGTGAACCACTTTTTGAATAGTTTTAGTTTGAAACAGTACGACTGTACAGACATCTTTATGGTCCGTGATAATAGAGATAACCAGATGACCAATAATTCTTGGCTAAAAATTGCAACAGCCGTGGGAAAGGAGGAAAGTTTTTGTTAAAAAGTTTGTAAAAACCTGAGAGATAAGTTTGTTAAAGCCAAAAGTGGAGACCCAGGTACAGAAATATGTTTTCCACTATTCATAGGTTTTACACTGATGTTTATATTACAATTTTGAATTTAACACAATTTAATAGTTACAAAATTATAATTAAGAAACAAATTATTTCTTTGATAACTGGAAAGAAATATTTGAACCTATCAGTTTATAGTATACTATATAGTGTGTGTGTGTGTGTGTGTGTGTGTGTGTGTGTGTGTGTGTGTGTGTGTGTGTGTGTGTGTGTGTGTGTGTGTGTGTGTGTGTGTGTGTGTGTCTGTGTGTGTGTCTGTGTGTGTCTGTGTGTGTCTGTGTGTGTGTGTGTGTCTGTGTGTCTGTGTGTCTGTGTGTCTGTGTGTGTGTCTGTGTGTCTGTGTGTGTGTCTGTGTGTCTGTGTCTGTGTCTGTCTGTCTGTCTGTCTCTCTCTCTCCCTCTCTTTACATCTACATGCACTGCCCTAATTATGCAGACGATGTGCCCTGGGATTGGCTTAAGTGTCCCAGGGCGTCCTTTAAAAAGGGAAAGCGGGTGTGGGTCGGGAGAGCGAATTTGGGTTGGTGTGCTATAAAAACTATTTTGTTGCTAAGTGTTACTTTTTATTGCGTTTCCCATGTTGGTGTGTAAATTTTGACTCTGTTGTATATCCATCGGTGCTTCCCCCTCTTGTTTGTTTGTTAATATTGTAAATATTGAATTCTGTTCATTTTATGTAAATATTTTCTTCTGTTTTTATACATATGGAGGTAGGGATAGGTCTTGGAATTTTGTTGTTTGGTTAAGTGTAGTTAATTTTTATTTAAGTGTTTAGTTAGAGTGTATTTTTGTTTATCATTTTTCTGTGGGTCCTCTCCGAGGTAGTTCCGGTGTTCTTTTATGTTGTGGTCTTGACCCTAGACCAGGGTCGTAACAATTGTTTTAAAGTACAACTGTGTTTTCACCATTGAAATGTACAAAGAAATTTTACTTTTACCTGAGCTCATTTACTGAAGCCTTCATTTTCTTCATAATGTACTTACATTATTCAGGTCTGAAGTGGTGATAAAGAGTTTGCTCTGTCTTTAGGGATGTTGGAGAAGTCGATGCTGGTGTTGAATAAGAGTCGAGAGTTGCTGGATTTTTTGAAGGACTTCCAGTCCCAGCAGGCCCTGCAGTATGGCAAAGCTTCACAAGGCGCCTGGAGCAGCTTTGGAAAGGTTGAAGGTTTAATGGAGATTCTACAGGACAGACGCAGGCAAGTGGACCTCTGCATGAGACAACAGCAGCGTGAGCTGGAAGCCATCCACTGCATTTGCCAATGGGAGCAACAGGAACAGGAGGTAAGTCACAGAAAAGTCTTTTCATTATAGAAACCAGATGTATTGTGTCTTAAATTAAAAGTTCAGACATGTGCTATCAGCTTAATCTTTGTTTATAATAGATCTGGAAAACATGTTTCTTTATTATTCAGATGCAATGTTATCCAATCTGACAACAAAAACATTTAAAGGCATGTACTTTTATATATATATATATATATATATATATATATATATATATATATATATATAACATTAAGTTAATGCTGTTCTTTTTAAAGGGATAGTAATAGTTATAAAAGGCTCACTGTTTACTCAGCCTCAAGTGGTTCTAAAGCTTTATGATTTTCTTTTATTTTGTTGAACACAAAATAAGCTATTTTGAAGAAAGCTGGAATTCTGTAACCATTCACTTCCATGGTAGGAAACAACTAATACTATAGAATTTGATGGTTACAGTTTTCCAGCATTGTTCAAAATATCTTATTTTGTGTTTAATAGGAAAAATACTCATAATGGTTTGAAATAACTAAATGGTGAGCACATGATGACAGAATTTACATTTTTGGTGAACTATATATATTTTTTATCCTTAAATGTTTCATATTTATTCATATAGCTTAGCATTAACCATTGAATAGGATTAGCATTTGGCCCGCGAGTTTTGATCATTTTCCTAATTAAAGCTTGACTCTTCTACATAGTATAATAAGACTGAATGGAAAAGTTGCTAATTTCTACGCTGATATGGCTAGAACTATAATCTGATTCTGGCATCATAATCAATGAATTTGCTGTTGTATCATGGCATAAATTATATTACGCTGCACTGTTACCTAATTACCTAGCTTTGAACTATTTTGGAGCTAGTATTGTATCAGCCATGGTAAGGCAAAAATGTTAAAACTCAACTGATTAACTTTAGTGGAGTAGTGAAATGAACCTATTGTAGGTATTTTATTTTTAAATAATTTTTTATTATTAATATTATTATTTTTTTTTACATGGGTGTCAACACTTCATGAACAACACATGTACAGCATTTATTAATCATAACTGAACATTTACTAATGCATTATTAACATCCAAGTCCATGCTTGTTGACATTAGTTAATACACCATGAGTTAACATGAACTAACAATGAACTACTGTATTTTCATAAACTGACGTTAACTAACATGAACAAATACAGTTGTAAATGTATTGTTTATTGTTTGTTCATGTTAGTAAATGCATTAATTAACATTAACTAATGAACCTTATTGTAAAGTGTGACCATTATTATTTATTACTTTTTTTTACTGATTGCTCTTTTAAAGATAAAAAAACACTTATGAAAATCAACCTCTTATTGTTTTCCAGAATTCTTTATTAGTCTTATTTTGTGTTCAAAACAAGAAACTGAAAATATATTCACTTAGAAATAAGTGAATAAGACATCTATCACATAACAGCTGGATTAAATTCAAGCAGGAAATATCTGTCTGTGATGTGTGAAGGGTTCAGCAAATAGCAGTCTCAGTCCTGAAAGAAAGATCTCTGAAGACAAAAGTACTTTACAGAAGCCTAAAAAATAACTTTATTGCCACTGTGTAAACAATACCTTGATAATGAAATGCAATCTGAAGAACGTAGCCATTATCTTATTTGTGTACACTTTACGTAGATGCTTCAAACTCTGACCTGGTAAAGGTTATTCAGGCTCTGCAAAAACATGCTGATGACCGGCTGCCTTTTTAAAAATGTTGAACAAAAATAACTGGCCAGCATACTTGGCATGCTGAGAGAGGGACAGGGCACATGCTTGGGTTTGATATGATCCCTGTGGTAAACCGCTTACTGCTTTTGCTAATATTTTGAATAGCAATGTTACATTTAAAATACTATTAAAACTAAACTGGAGATTTATTAAATGTAAACTGCTAAATTTAAATTGTAAATCAAATTAACTTCTTATTATTCTGTAATAGTTACATAGCGTGAGCAATCGTTTATTTTTTAAATATTAAGTTAGAGAGCTCCTTGTATTTTAATTAAATCATTGTCTAAATTCAGGGCTTTACATTGAATTAAAATTGTAACCAAATAAGCTATTTTAAAGAACGAGAATATATTTAATATTAGAAACTATTTACAGGTCACTAACTAAGTAGGACAATTTAAATATGTATAATCAATACTTTTGTACATGCATTTTCTTTTTTTACTATATGTCTCACAATTTAAAACCTGTTGCATCTCAAAACTGATCTGTATTTGTTTTTAAACAGGTAACACAAAAGTTTAAGGAAAACGCGTTGTTCTTGGAAAACAGTAATCTGGGATTCTCTTTGTCAGAAAACGAGAAGCTACTGCAAGAATACAAAGAAATTGAACAGAAAGCCAAGGTAAACCGAAATCAATACACTTTCTAGTAAACATTAAGCTTTGAACTCAAAGTCTAGATCCAAAATTGGTCAAATAGTATCAAAACAATATATGTTCAATGCTTTTTTTCTATATAGATTGATGTGTTTTGTTTCTTTTTATCCTCTTCTGGGCAAAGTAACATAATAATAATAATAATAATAATAATAATATTAATAATAATATTAATATTATTAATAATAATTATTATTATTTTTATTATTATTATTATTATTATTATACATTTATATAAAGATTGACACTAGCTAAAATATAATTCAGTCTAACAAAAGATTTAATACTAAATAAATATTGTCAGGCATATTTCGAGCAAGAATCATTTGATAATCTTTTGATCTTCTGACATCTTAAAAGACTGCATTTTAGGACAGTGGAGCCTCAAAAAACCTAAAAAAAAAAAATGTGTCTTTCATGTTATGTCTATAATCTTTGCCACTGTCTTTTAAACCATTACATTTTACCCATTTATCAAGTTTGTAATTGCCTAAAATATGTTTTTTTAAAAACCTTATGATAATCTGTTGTTTTATCCATTAATGAGAACAGGTTAAAATTAATGTTGTATTTTTACATAAATATTTAATCTAGAATGACAATGAAATGTTATTTTACCCATATTTTGACATTTTAAATGCCTTTTAATATTATAACACAACCTATTAAAAGACAGCTTCTTTATTAAAATCTTTATCAAATCAGATATTTGTAAAAAATATTTGATCATTGTGACTTCATGTTAGGTTATGTTTCCTTATGTTATGTTATGCTATGTTTCGTTAGGTTATGTTTTACTTTGTTTCGTTATGTTATGTTTTGTTAGATTATGATTCGTTATGTTATGATTCATTATGTTATGTTTATTTGTTATGTTTCGTTATGTTGTGTTTCGTTATGTTTCGTTGTTATATTTTGTTACAATTCGTTTTGTGTAGTTAGGTTATGTTTCGTTTTGTTATGTTTCGTTAGCTTATGTTTCGTTATGTTATGATTCGTTAGGTTATGTTTCATTATGTTACATTATGTTTCGTTAGGTTATGTTTCCTTAGGTTATGTTTTGTTATGTTATGTTTCGTTTGCTTATGTTTTGTTATGTTATGATTTGTTAGGTTATGTTTCGTCAGACTATGTTTCGTTATGTTTTGTTATGTTTCATTAGCTTATGTGTCATTATATTATGATTCATTAGGTTATATTTCGTTAGGTTATATTTTGTTAGGTTATATTTCGTTCTGTTATGTTTCCTTAGGTTATGTTTCATTTTATGTTATGTTATGTTTTGTTAGTTTATGTTTCATTATGTTATGTTTTATTATGTTATGATTCGTTGTTATGTTATGTTTCAATAGGTTATGTTTCGTTATGATTCGTTATGTTACGATTCATTTTGTTATGTTTTGTTAGGTTGTTTCCTTAGGTTATGTTTCTTTATGTTAGGTTATGTTTCGTTAGATTATGTTTCATTGTTATCTTTTGTTATGTTTCATTAAGTAATGTTTCGTTATGTTTTGTTACGTTTCGTTACATTATGTTTCATTAGGGTATGTTTATTTGTTATGTTTCATTATGTTATGTTTTGTTAAGTTATGTTACGTTAGATTGTTTCGTTAATTTATGTTTCATTAGGTTATGTTTTATGTTATGTTTTGTTAGGTTATGTTTTGTTATGTTTGCTTAGGTTATGTTTCATTATGTTTCATTAAGTTATGTATTGTAATGTTTCAATAGGTTATATTGTTTTATTAGGTTGTTTCATTAGCCGCATTTCCACTATCAGGCCAGTGCGAGCCAGGGCTTATATCGGGCCAGGCCGGGCCAATCGCCCGGGAGGTTGAGCAGTGAGGCTGAAATCATGTCGCGTTTCCACAGTGGGGCTAGTAGCTCGCAGCGCGTCACGCAAACCCCGCCTCCAGAACATCCCCCGAATCGAACGTCACTCAAACCGCCCACTTCAGCTAGAATCATGCAGATAAAGCACACCATCACGAAACTATTAAAATTAGGACAACCAAAACAAACAAATGACACGTTATTGTACAGCAGTACAACGCATGTCTATACGCACATGCCTGTGTGTTTTCATTCATCATATTAATTTACTCGCCGACCGACTGTTGGCATCGAAATCCAGTGGTCTTGCCCAGGGGCGTTGCGAGGAGGGGGGGGGGGGGGGCTTTGGGGGTTTAAGCCCCTGATGTATTGTCAAAAGCCCCTGATCTTTTGGAATATGTTGCACTTAAATAAAAATAGGTTGTATAACATTTATTTTGTTATTAAAGTTCTGACAATTAACACGTGTATATCACGCGTATTCTACCTAAAGCAGCGTTTGTGTCGGGTATTTAAAAAGTAATCTATTCAGCATTCAGTTACCTGTTTCTACCGCCAGGTGGGAGTGGCTTTGTTGTCACATGGTTTAAAAATATTCCGCCACTGCACATCATTCATTATTTTGAGCAGCTAAAGCTGATGAGGTAATAATACAACTGTTTCACAAAACTGAATAGTTCTAGCTAAGTTACAGATGAAGCTTAATATTTGTTTTTACAGCAGAAAATGTGTGTAGGTTTGGTGAAATAACAAAACTGTAGGTAATCAATAAAATGTGCTGCACATTAATGTAAATACATGCAAATTAGTCAGAAAAATGTAAATTGTACTTGCTTTCTAGATTATATATATATATATATATATATATATATCATTAGACATCTTTATTAGATATGATATAGCCAGTCACATCTGTTTCTGTAATAGTTAAATCACAGTGAGTTCATGTATCTAGCATATTATTATTTTATGGCTATATTCTACAGTAACATGCTATGTCAGTTAGCAGAGGATTATAAATCCACTTTCTTATGAAAATACCTAATGCCCCCGGGCCCCCCTGTTTATTTTTTTAACACATTTCTAAACATAGTTTTAATAGCTCATCTCTAATAACTGATTTATTTTCTCTTTGCCATGATGACTAAGTACTTGACTAGACATTTTTAAAGAAACTTCTATACAGCTTAAAGTGACATTTAAAGGCAGGTTAGGGTAATTTGGCAAGTCATTGTATAACGATAGTTTTTTATGCTGCCTATCGGAAAAAAATATAGCTTAAAGGGGCTAATTATTTTGACCCTTAAATGGTTTTTAAAAAATTTAAAACTGCTTTTATTCTAAAACAAATAAGACTTTCTCCAGAAGAAAAAGTATTAACAGACATACTGTGAAAATGTCCTTGCTCTGTTAAACATCATTTTAAAAATATTTAAAATAGGAAAAAAAAATTAAAAGGGGGCAAATAATTCTGACTTCATCTACATTTATTGTCACAGTCGTGTAAATGATCAGTTTAAGCCTTTTTTATGTTTATTCAGATCTTATTTTCATTCAACTCCAGCAATAGCTGGATTCCTTCATCCATAATATTAGGGTTTTCCTGGAATATTCTACAACTTTTGTGAGGCATATATGGAATTTCTGCTCAAGAAATTAAACAGGCATTACATGCATTCAAAGTGCTACAATGCCCACATCAACCTATTTTGAGGAAAACAAAAAATCTCCCTCTAAAGAAATTTGAAGTAAACACATTTCTAGCATTTAATTCTTTATTTTTTGTACTATTTTTGATACAATTGTTTTTTTTTTTAAAAGCCCATTGAATATCAATATTTTGCGAGGTATTGAATTTAGAAATTCCAGTATCTTGACAACACTAAACCTCAGTTAATCACTCATAATCAAACATGTGTGTAGCTTTGTATCACATTGGATAACAACTTGGTCTATAAAATAAATCATATTTTTCAGATTTGAAGACATGCAGAAATATTTATTTTCAAACTCAAAAGCCCCTTATCCCTTTCGACCCTAGCAACGCCCCTGCATAAAGCTCTCATGCTGCAGGAATGAGGAGGTCTGCTGAAGCCACGCAGCTGACGTGCAGTGAGGAGTTTGCGTCTTTAATAAACTACCGCAGTTTGTGTTCACTGAACAGTAAGAATGATTAATAAATCCATATGAAACAGCCCCTTAAAAGTCACGTCTCACTTTCGGTTTCGGGCTTTGGCACGTTTTGCACTCACACACAAGCGTACCGCGCCAAAGCCCAAGTGATCCGCGCTCAGGCACACCTCTTCCAACCGGGCCAGGGCCGGCCAAGTGAATCGTGCTTGAGCCCGATTCAGCGCACTCACACTTCTCAAACGATCCGGGAAACGGGCCTGGGCACGGTACGGATGGCATAGTGTGAGTAGGCCCTTATAGGAATGCATATGCAAATTTTTACAAGGCACGTCACTGTTGTCTCGTTGTCATGGCGAGCGCTGAGGAGGGCTCACCTGATTGGACCACAGAGACTAGGGAATCTGCGTCAGGGCGAGTTGCCGTCTGCTGTGGACAAAAATATATTAAATATATTCAATATATATTTTTACAGTTTTGGTGCTGTGTAATATTCTGAGATACTTTATACGGTTCCTTTTACAGCATCCATGGTGTAAATTAAGCGTTTCCGGCGAATTGAATGCCAATGCAAAATCCGGTGCGTTTAAGGTTTGTTTTCTTTCAAAATCAGCGATCTTCACAAGCTGAGTGATATCCGATTTAAAGTGGGTCTTAGATTGTACAAGAAGCACTGCATTAAATTACATTTCCCCCGTCATATCCTTATAATATGAGCAATATATTTAACCCCAGTATATTCAATGGAGCTATGTATTTAAAATTTCATTTTTTAATTTTACCACGTTATATAAAAACACACACACTTGTTTGAGGACACAGAACACATTTTGAACTTGCAGTTTTCTCCGTCAAAAAAGTGCTGCGCGGCTGCAGACAGAAAAAAAGGTCGCCTATTTCTGCTTTCACTCACCCCGAAAATGCTCTATTTGCATGATTTGATTAATTTCATCGTATCCAAATACTTTATAAATAATATTTAAAACATTCTCCGGTGTTTATTTATTTGTTTATTTATTATTTTTAGAAAATATCTAAAATCTTTTTTTAAAGATTTAAGTTAAATATAAATTTGAAACAGTTTGATATAGTACCTAATTGTTATAGCTATAGCTTTTGTTAGTTTTATATTTGTTTATTTATTTAATGTGATTTTATTATAGGCCTGATATTTGTAATTCTTTAAATTATCTCAATATAGGGCTATTTATCTAGATATGACACTATTGTTTTGAGCCTACAAAAGTGGACATGAAATGTGTAAAGTTTAATGTCTTACTGTTGTATTTATATAGTGTATTATCACCAAAATAAATTAAAACAATAAAAATAAAAGAAAAAAGCCGCTCGCGGCATCAACAGAGCTATGAATGGAGCGCTCTTTTCCTCGGTCTCACACACATACACAGACATCTAAACGCGCAAAAACACACTTATTAAACTTGACAAAACCTCTTGAAAACCTTTACTGTCAGCTGTGTCTTTAATATGGTGTAAAGATTATTATGCGTTATTGAAACATCAAAGATGCAGCAAAGAAAGATCATTTTATGCAACAGCCTTTGAAAAGAGAAACATAAGGGCGATCATAAGCAAAAGAAAAAGACCCAGCCTATAATTTGTTCCAGATGTTTTCTTTCCCTTATTTATTTATTTGTTTGGCGCATGTACTCGAGTGCGATCGGAAAACTGTGCCCGCCTCTCCTTTCACTCCGCCCCGAAGCCCCGGCTGGCCCTCTTTGGCCCAAGGTATTCGGCGGGCCGAAAAAGGCCGGCCACTGGCCCCAAGAAAGCCCCGCTTTGGCCCGATTAGGCCCCGGAAGTGACAGTGGAAACGCCACTGGCCTTGGCTCGCCCTGGCTCGCTCGCTTAAGGAGCGACTAATGTGTTATGTTTCATTATGTTATATTGTTGTTTCGTTGTTATGCTGTTTCCTTATGTTTTGTTTCGTTATGTTACATGTATGTTATGTTTCATTATGTTATGTTGTGCTATGGTATATTGTTTTGTTATGTTTTGTTTTGTTTCGTTATGTTTTGTTATGTTTTATATTTCATTATATTTCATTATGTTATGTTGTTTCATTATGTTTCAAATGTTTTACGTTTCATTGTTTTGTTATGTTATGTTTCATTATTTTATGTTATGTTATGTTGTGTTGTGTTGTGTTTTGTTATGTTTTGTTATGTTATGTAATAGTCAATACATCTATTATGCCAATAAACGTTTATACTATAACTCATTGGACACCTAAGTCACTTTAAATCACTGCACTGTGTTTCTTCCAACAGGACTGGGCTGTTCTGGTGGAGAAGTTACTAGAGCAGGCATCATATCTGCTTTCCTCAAATGAGTCCACACAACTTCAATGCTTGTCAGAGAAGAGTGAAAAACTCAGAGCATCACACCAGCAGTTCTGGAGCCTCATGATGAGTAGACAGGCTCATCTGCAAGAGAGCAATACTTTTTACAGCAGCGCTAATAAAGTACGTAATCAAGTAGCACTTCACATACTTTGACTAAGTTGAGGTTTGGATAACTGAGCTGACAGAGTCCTTACTCTTGGTAAACACTCCAGCGGTCCTATTTCTTCTGACTGCACTCATGTGTCATATGTTTTCTGCTGTAGATAGTTCCCTCTGGTGGAGAAGTAGATGACTATAAAAGATGGTAGATTTATTTACTGTAAAGAGTTTTTGTACAATGATAAAAAGCTGTTAAGATATTTTAATGGGTTCTCTTTAGTATTTTATTTTATTTCAGAATGGAGGCTTTTAATTAAATAAGATATGAATACAAATGATACTTGAATTTTAAAGATGCTTGAATTTTGTTGTGTACTTTTAAAATATAGGATGCTGAGGCTCTAGCAAGAGCAAGATTGACTACAGACTGAGCATATTGTGAATTGTAATTTTTTTGAGTTAATTTATTTAGTTTATTTCTTACTAATTCATTGTGAGTTTTAGAAGTGAACTATTATGAACAACATGAGATCATCATGTCTGCATAAAATTAATTAATGGGGTTATTGCCGAAGCATGCTAATAGGACTTTTAATTTGCCAGTAACCTGGGTTAAGCGCTTCCGGCGAATTGAATGCCAATGCAAAATCTGGTGCGTTTAAGGTCTGTTTTCTTTAAAAATCAGCAATCTCCACTAGCTGAGTGATATCCGATTTAAAGTGTGTCTCAGATTGTACAAGAAGCACTGCATTAAATTACATTTCCCCCGCCATATCTTTATAATATGAGCATTTATTTTACCCCAGTATATTCAATGGAGCTTCTGCGTTAGTTAGTAGTTAGTGCGAGTAAACAGCTTTTTGTCTCGTTTTACGCTTGAGCAACTAAATAAATGCTACAGTTTATTTAGCTGAATGTATTTTAATGACATTACAACATCGATGCTTTATAAGGAACTGTATAAAATGGAAAAAAGTTCACAATAACAGGTCACCGGAAGTGTATCAGCATGGGAACAGCACTAGCTCGGCATATACCCTATTTAAAACACTTTAAAACATTAATTAGATTTTACATAGAAATCATTTCAAAGGCTGGTAATTTTAATGTGTAAAAACAACTATTGCACTGTACTGTGATCTTTAATCTTTCATTCATCAAATGATTCTTGCTCTAAATATGCCTGACGTGATCTTTTCTAATTTTGTATACATTTTCATAGAAAACAGCAAGTGTTTATGTTATAACGTCAGTCTGTGTGTTGAGTCATTAGGAACAGAATGTATATTTAATTATAGAAAATACAAGAGATTTTCCCTAAATTTGAAATGTATTTTCTGTAAAATCTCTTAAAAACCAAACAAATAAATGCATTATGAATGATAGTAACTGCCACAGAAAAAGCACAGAATTTGGTGAAATTATCCGGATATTTTATGTTATGTTGTTTCATTGAACTGCATTAAACCACACAGGATTATCTAACACTATTTTTTGTTTTGGTTTTCAGGCATTTGAGGCGCTGGCCACTATAGAGAGTGCTATTAAGGAACTAAAGACTCAACCTCTGGCTTTACCTGAACTGGCCAAGAAACATGAAGAATTTTCATGCAGAATTAAAGACGCCTCTGCTGAGTCTCTTCAGAGAGGTCATCTGTTACTCCAGAAGCTTGAACCACAGAGGTGAGAAGATAAAGAGCAGACGCTGCAGTACACAGTGTAAAAAATAGACCTCATCACAGTAGATATCCAGACAAAAGGATTGGGGTGTTCTGTGCAGTGTCAGGCATACTTATAGTGTTGTCTGTGTGTTTGTTTGTTTGCCAGTGCACCAGCTGGAGGGCTGCAGAGGATGCTGGGATACATCAAAGAGAGGATGGAGGCTCTGAGTCGTGACTGTCATGCGCACAGAGAGTTAACAGGCAGGCGACAGCAGCTGGTGGCCTCAGTTGAAGAACTGATGGAGAAGGTATAGGAAAATACAGTGGTCTGTCTATTTTTTTTTTTTTGTCATTGAACTTTTTTTTATTTTGAGCTTATATACTGCCTAAAATCAACATTCAGGTAAACAATGTAAACAAAATATAATAAAAATATTAACAAAACAACAATTATAACAAATACTAAATATAAAATAAATATAAAATAATACCAAGCCAAAATGACAACAATGACTATTTTTACATGCTCTATAAAAACTCTAAAAAGCTACACCATTTCTGATTGAAAGTATGGGTGTAGTCCTGGTGATGCTGGAGAAGCTCCATCCAATCCTTAACCGAGGGAGTATCTTAGTTCTTCCAATTTCGCAGCACTATTCTCACAGCCATAATATATCCTGCAACCACTAGCCTTGCCTGTGCTTTAGATATCCCCTTCCATAGAGTGGATGTATCTCCAAGAAGACAAACTCTTGGTGAATAAGGTAAAGGTTATCGCAGATAATTCTCAAGGTTTTAAATACCTCTTGTCCAGAACGGAGCCACTAAATGACAGTTCCACATTAAATGTGAAAGGTGCTCACAGAATGACCACATTTCCAACAGTGGTTATTTTTCATTAATCCATATGCAGTCTTACTGGGTCCAGTAATATTGATTAATTATCATGTAATATATGAGTTTACTTGTACATCTCTCACAGGATCCCCTATACTGAAAACTACTGCTTCCCAGTCACCCTCTCCAAATTCCACCTCTAAGTCTTTCTGTCAAACATTTCTGAAATGATTATTTTTTCCATACATGTTGTTTGCAGCAACCTTATACACGAAAGATGAAGTTTGCATATAGTCTGTCTATTATCATTTTAAGTGTTGTAATAATTTAGTTTTTGCCACATTTAAAGTAAAATATTTATAGTAATATACAGTTGAAGTCAGAATTATTAGCCCCCCTGAATTATTAGCACACATTTCTAAACATAATAGTTTGTTCTGTAGACTATCGAAAAAATATATAGCTTAAAGGGGCTAATAATTTTCACCTTGAAATAGGTTTTAAAAAATTAAAATCTGGTTTAATTCTAGCCGAAATAAAACAAGTAAAACTTTCTCTAGAAGTAAAAAATATTGTCAGACATACTGTAAAAATTTCCTTGCTCTATTAAACATCGTTTGGAAAATATTTAAAAATAGAAAATAATTAAAGAAGGGCTAATAATTCTGACTTCAACTGTATATGTATATAGTAATAATAATAATTATTATTGAAATTAATTATTGTATAAAATGTACAATACAGTATTTTACTTGAATTCAAATTAGAAGCATATTATAATTATTATTATTGCTTATACTATTTTTTATCATTATTGTGTATGCTGTTACTCTTCTTCTTACTAATGTTTAACAGATTAAAAAAACTATATGTATGTTTTGTTTGCATCTTTTGCATTTATTTTCAATGTAGTAGCACTACTACATTTTTTACTAGTTTTTGCACTTTTATTATCATGAAAATAAAAACAAAAGAAAAATCTATTTAGATATATTATTTATATATAGCCTTTACGCTTTATTGTTGTACCTAAGGGCATATATGAAAAGCTAAATATACTTTATATAATTTTGACATGTAATATTTACTTTTCATAGGACATTTTTTACATTGTAATAGACAAATGTACGAAAGATTATCACAAAAATAGCAAATGCTTTTTAATTTTTTTTCATCGCAATAAAGAACAAATCATGCTTGTTTATTCAATTAACCTTAATATGTTTTGCTGCGATTCTCTACAGTTATCTTTTTATTGCATCATTACATTGTTTCTCATACAGTATGTTGTGTGCTTTTATTATGGTAAGTTGTTGAAAAGGGCATATATTTCCATTTCATATATTATGTTTTATCTCAAACTGCTGAATCTTCAGATCTCGGCTTGGATAAAGAGCAGCAGCAGTGTCCTCTCCGCCAGCACAGAGCCCGGTTCATCTCTAACTGAGGCTGAAGACGCTCTGAACAAGCATGTTGAGCTGCTATCACAGTCTCAGGTGAATTCCTGCCCCTAGATGAGATTATAGTATGATACAGAAAAGTCAAAGCAAATTGTGCTGCAAACTAAGAGCTTCTCGTAGTAATATTTACATTATTAGACTTTGTTTTCTGCTCTGTTGACTTTGGATGTTGAAAATTTAACTGCAGTTTAGGGAATTTTATCGACATTTTAGTAGTTTGAAACACGATTTTGGTTGAATTGTGTGTAAAATAACTGAACAAAACTATATTGGCAGCTTTTTGTATGTAAGTTACAATACCAATCAGACAATATATCCCTTCAGGCTTTTAAATATAAAAAAAAGAGTTACTTTTTTTACATTTTCAACATTAAAAGCTGTTGGAGAAAAGATGAAGGTCTCATAATGCAATTTAAAAAACACGAATGCCAAAATACTGTTAGTTTACAGGTATTTTACAGTGCAAGCCATGTGTTTCTCTGAGCTGTGATTTTTGTCCTGCAGGACTTTATGAAAGAATCAGAGGCTATAGCTGGTTTTCTAAGAGAACTGAAGATGCTGAAAGCTACAGAGACACTTGACTTGTTGAACAAAGCTTCACTTCTGGCAGAGGAGATGAAGACATTGGTCAGAAACATTTCATCACATGTGGAGAGCCTCAGACCCTATGTGGACTTTCTCCACTGTGCAGAGGAGGTACTGTACGATTATAGATGAATTATTTATGTTAAGTATTGAAGTCTTTAGTTAGACCAGGATCAATACTGTACAGTTGATTTTCGATGTGTTGGCGCAGGTCGAGGAGCAGATTAGTGCGCTTCAGGAATGTTATAAGAACAGACCAGAGGAAGAGGAGGAAAATGAAGGGGCAGGTGCTTCCCTGAAGGAAATGATGGATGCTGAGTGGCAGTCATTGCTGCAGAGTTTTTTCACCATGCAGGATCTGGGGAACAACTTTATTAACACCTCTAACATGGTAAGAAAATTTGCAGAGCTTGAAGAAACGGTTCACTGTCAAATGAAAGGTTTATGTTAATTTCCTCTTTCTGCATTGTAAACAATATTGATTACCAGGATCCGTATTTCATGATTTACAGATTTTAAATTTATTTACACTTATGGATTTCATTATGGGAGCTTGATCTTTGTTTGATCTTTGCTCTGTTGACTTTTTATGTTGATTATGTTAATACTTTCACACTTTGAAACAATATATTGTTTAACAAATTATACAGAGAGAATTAGGTTTGGGGGACGCGGTGGCACAGTTGGTAGTGCTGTCGCCTCACAGCAAGAAGGTGGCTGGTTCAAGCCTCGGCTAGTGAAGTTTGCATGTTCTACCCGTGTTCGCTTGAGTTTCCTCCGGGTGCTCCAGTTTCCCAGTATGGTTTGCAGCTAGAAAGGCATCCGCTGCATAAAACATATGCTAGATAAGTCGGCGGTTCATTCCGCTGTGGCGACCCCAGATTAAAAAAGGCATTAAGCCGAAAATAAAATAAATGAAGTTTGTGGGTGGCACGGTGGCTCAGTGTTAGCACTGTTGTGTCATAGCAAAAAGGTCGCTGGTTTGAGTCCCAGCTGGACTAGTTGTCATTTCTGTGTGGAGTTTGCATGTTCTCCCCATGTTGGCGTGGGTTTCCTCCAGGTGCTCTGGTTTCCCCCACAGTCCAAAAACAGGCACTATAGTTGAATTGAGTAAACGAAATTGGCCATAGTGTTTGGGTATTTGTGTGAATGTGAGAGTGTATGAGTGTTTCCCAGTACTTGGTTGAGGTTTGAAAGGCATCCGCTGTGTAAAACATATGTCGGAATAGTTGGCGGTTCATTCTGCTCTGGGGACACCTGATAATAAGGGATTAAGCAAGAGGAAAATTAATTAAGTTTATAAAATAAAATTAGGTACTTGCAGTTTGTTACCAGTTTGAGTACTGTAATTTATACCACTAACCTACAAAATAATTAGTCAAATGCACTTGAAAAATTAGTGAAAGGTTTAAAAAAAAATAAAAAATCAGCCCTCATGCACACCAATGTGTTTCTGCTAACTAGTAAATATATCACTTCAATTCACTATTCACTATTAAAATGTCAGTCAATTTTTGTAACTTTCTTACTCTTAGAGGAAAGATCAAGGTCATAATGCAATTCAAAACATAAAGAAAACATGATTGACAAAATACAAAAAAAAAAAAACTGTTAACTTATGCATATTTTTCAAGTCTTGATTTTAATGTGCCTATTGTTGGAGCATATCTGATCCTTTCTGGACGCTGATGTCAGCAGTGGGGGGCACGGTTGCTGAAGGCGTATTAACCCTGCTTTGACTGAACTCTTAGAATATCAAGTTTATTTGTTCCTTAAGATCTGAGGGATCTGTTAGGTTTGCATTCAGTGAGCATATCTGTAATGTATTGAGGTCCTATGCCATTTAGTGATTTGTAGACTAGTAATATTACTTTATAATTCATTCTGAATGTAACTGGGAGCAAGTGTAAATATCTGAGGACAGGTGTGATGTGCTCAGATTTTCTGGTTCTGGTCAGAATCTTGGCAGCAGCGTTCTGGATGTCTTTTTAGGAAGCCTAATGAGGAGTCCATTACAGTAATCCACTCTGCTGGTGATAAAAGCATGAACAAGTTTCTCCAAGTCCTCACTGGAAACAAAGCATTGTTGCAATATTTTTGAGACGATAGTATTCTGATTTATTTACTGCTTTGACATGACCACTGCAACTCAGATCTGACTCTAGAATAACACCAAGATCCAAGACCTTTTTTTGTTGTAGTTTGATCCTTAGAGCCAAGGAACGCATTCACATTGAGAACCTCATCTCTGTTTCTAAATGCAATGACTTGAGTTTTCTCTTTGTTTAACTGAAGAAAGTTTTGGCACATCAAACTGTTAATTTCATTAATGCACTGGCAGAGGGTGTCAATGGGGCTCTTGTCATTAGGCAGAAAGGCCAAGTAGATCTGTGTGTCATTAGCATAGCTGTGGTAGGAGAGTTTGTTCTTACTCATTATTTGGCTAAGTGGGAGCATATAAAGGTTGGACAGGAGAGGTGCCAGAAATGAACCTTGTGTGGGTCTCCACATGTCATGGTTGTCCACCTTGATCTATGGTCACCTGTACTGACATAGTTCAGCATTCAAAAAAATGTTCAACTTTGATTATTTTTATTGTTATTTATTTATTTAGTTAAATTTTATTTTATTCTTAAGTTATTATCATTATTTATTTATTTTTAATTTTATTGCAGATCAGTGGCAACCTGAATCTAAATGTTAAAGCAGCAGGGCATGTTGTAGAAAAGCATATAGAGATACTGACCAAGAAGAAATGTGAACTAGCAGACTTGTGGACATCCTGGCAACTTAATTATAGTCAGATAAAATCTGTGAAGAAGCAGTGGAAAAAATTCAAGGAACAGCTTAAAAAGGTAACAATTGATTTCACTTGGAAACATATCACATAATGTAAATGTGTTAGTTATTCGCTAGCTTTCAAAATTAATGCAAACATAATCAGTTAAACTTTGTTAATTCTCTGCAGGTTCATCATGATTTAAAGGCCATGGAGGATATTTTTGCTCCGGCATCAAAAATTGATTTGGGAGGTGATCCTCAGTCTGTGTTTAAACTTCAGGAAAAATTCACCTCTGTGAAGCCAGAATTCCTGGTTAGATGTGCATTTTATTTTAGTTATTCATTCATGGTTGTTTTCTTAATATTACTTTTTAATTCACTGCTAACTTCTATTTCAAATACCACATAGCAACTCAATGCAGAGGTGGAATTCCTGGTTAAGACATCTGAGCTGCTCAGCTTGAAAGGAGTACCTGCGAAAGAGAAGAACGAGAAAGTCTCAGAGCTTCTGCTGCTGCATCAGCGTATCAGAGATAAAATTAGAGAGTATGAAACTGTTCTCAGCATGGCCAGCAAATTTCATCAGCTTTATCAAGAGGTAAAGGCTCATTTCTGTCCAACACTTTAGAGAATCAGTGTAAGCTTAGGCTGAAAACAGACTGTAATGGATTTCTAAATCAGAATAACATAGAAGTCAGACACCTCTTTTTTTAATGATGGTTCTTAAATCGCATTCTTTAATATTGATATTCTCAGTTTTAGAGTAATAAATAACAAATGTAAGAAAATGAAACATTTGAAAGCATATTCAAAGGCACCAAACTTCTCATTTCCATCTATTTAATAAACCCTGTTAAACACAGTCACAAGCATCCTGACTACTATAAGGGTTCCCACGGGTCGAGGAATTCCTGGAATAACATAAAACTTTGTTAACAGATTTCATGTTGGATTTTGTATTTGTTTTATTGTTTATATTTTTTTGTTTGTTATTTGTTTTTAATGTTACTTTCCATAAGTCAAAATGTAATATTTCTATAACATATATGAAGTTTACAGAAGCTTCACCTTCTTGACATTATTGGCCTCAACTACAGGTATTTAGTCATGTTTTTAATGCTTTGTTCAATGTTGTATTAATGTTAAAAGCTAATTAAAAAGGCGATGCCCTTGCAATTTCAGTACAGTTTTGATTTGGTTCAATTAGATTTTTTCTGCTTGGTTTGCAGGACATATGCTGTCTGTTTATTATTGGTCAGTGGTTCCCAACTTTTTTTTGCTTGAGACTCCCTTTTTCCCCGGAAAATATTGTAATGCCCCCCTCCAAGTTTAATGATATTATCTCTCATATAAGTTTACTGTAGGTATGACAAAAAAGGTTGTTTTCAAACAAACTGTGTGTTTATTACTATATCTAGATCTGTTTATGCACAAATAATAGCCTAATGTAAAATATAAAAGCAAAACATCAGTAGGCCTTTTGTATTGGGTGCACCTTGCAGTACTGGGGGCGAGACATCTGCAAATCTCTTATTAATTTGGATGGCCTCATGCATTCGTTAGCAAGTATTTGAGCGCAAATAATACACTGTGGCTTGGTCAGGGACTCTGCTTTGAAATAATGGAATAAAACCATAGTTCAGGTAACTATCTTGATATTTCCTGCATTTTGTGTTTGCCGCATTGCTAGTCCTGTGACCCGAAATATTTGGGGCTTCCTCACCTGGGTCCAGTATGCTTGGGTCATTACTATTTTGCTATCTATTTTGTGGAGAACGAATTACAAATTTTTCAATTTTTTTGGTCAGCCAGGGGCTAAAATTAACTAAGGTAGCATGATCAGTCTCCTAATTGTCCACTGCTAATTATTATTATTTTTTTTAAATATGACGCGACCCCGCCCACAGAGCTTGCTGAGGCCCCCTTGTAGGCCAGGACCCTCCTGTTGGGAACCACTATTATAGGTCATGGAAATTCAGCTTTCAATCAGGGAAAGTCAAGGAAAATCCAGGAATTTGACAGTTACCTTAGATTGGGAACCCAGAACTATAAGTTATGACAATGAGTAAAGGATACAGTAATCACACAAGAGGGATGTTGTAAGTAACTGAAGGGCTTCATTCTATTAAAACAACCACCATGTACCTTTATCTCTCTTTTTCTTTACATAGTTGCCACAACATGTAAAAATTCTACGCAAAACCTTGCTCTAAACCCTAATAGTCCCCGGTTAAAAAAATAACACAGGCTAATTTGGGTACTTAAAATCATCTTGACCATCGGTGAATATTTGCTTATTTGTCACTTTGCAATTGGGCTGCTGATGAGCCTTTAGGGCAGGGGTGTCAAACTCAATTCCTGGAGGGCCGAAGCCCTGCACAGTTTAGTTCCAACCCTGCTCCAACACACTTACCTGTAGGTTTCAAACAAGCCTGAAGGACTCAATTAGTTTGATCAGTTGTGTTTAATTAGGGTTGGAGCTAAACTGTGCAGAGCTGCGGCCCTTTTGGAACGGAGTTTGACACCTGTGCTTTAGGGTTTTATTCTGGGAGAACAACCGGCTGAGTATACAGTTGAAATCAAAATGATTAGCCCTCCTTTAAATTTTTATTTATGTTTCCCAAGTGATGTTTAAAAGAGCAAGGAGGTTTTTATTGTGGTATTTCCTACAATATTTTTTCTTCTGGAGAAAGTCTTTCAGTGTTTTATTTTAGCTAGAATAAAAGCAGTTTTTTAAAACTAGTAGTTATTATTTTTAAGGTCCTAATTAACCTAGTTATGCCTTTATATTGCACTTTAAGCTGAATACTAGTGTCTTGAAAAATATCTAATAAAATATTATGTACTGTCATCATGGAATCAGTTATTAGAAAATAGGGATTAAAAATATAATGTTTAGAAATGTGTTGAAAAAAATCCTTTCTGTCAGAAATTTGGGACAAATTTGGTGGGCTAATAATTTAGGAGGTATAATAATTCTGATTTTAACTGTATATTATTCCATAATTAAAGCATAATTGATTGTTTTATATGTTTTCTATTTTAGCTGGAGACAGTGTTGCATGCGGAACCAGTGAGTGTGTTCAGTGACAGTAGCCAGGCCAGGGCACAGTTGACCCAGCACCAAGACAGGCAGAGACACATCCGCCATCTCTACAAGCTCGCTCTCTCACTGGGTGCAGATCTCACCAGCAATGTGCAGCAGTCGGTTCGTTGATTACAATATTGCATGCCCTTACCTGAACCAGACTATTTTAGCATAAAAATAATAACAGAAACATGTGACACCATCATGATTATTTTCTGTTTTTCATGCATAAATGCATATCAATTCTTGTTACTTTGATATAATATGCTTCAAATGTTTGTCCATTTACCTCATACATATCAGTTATTATTGCTTTGGTAGAAATAATATGAGACAAGTGCCACAAATAACCATGCTTCTCCATTTACTGTACATCATGCTTAACAATTGTTTTTGCTTTGGTAGAAATAATATTATACAAGTGCCACAAATGACCTTGATTCTCCCTTTATCCCTGTCTTATGCTGTAAGCGTGTGCTGGTGTTGACAGTAAAGCAGTTGCAGGAGAAACTGGTCAAGTTGGATAAAGGAAGTACTGATTGGATCGTTAAGGCCAGCAAATGTGAAGAGAGTTTGACGAGCAATGTCCACTTCTGTCTTTATAAGGAAGAGATCAGTGAGGTAAGGATGGCCAGGGTTTGGATCATTATATAAACTTCCCAAATGAGTAAGCTGCCCTCTTAATCTCATCTGAGCAACAATTCAGGAAAAAAAAAAAACATGAATTAACCCTTGTGCACTGTTCAAATTTACTACCATTTTGTTATGTTTGGGATGAATACATCCACTGAATTAAACTGCTGTAAAAATGCATCATACATACATACATACATACATACATACATACATACATACATACATACATACATACATACATACATACATACATACATACATACATACAGACATGCATTTGTATTTATTTGTATATTTATTTATTTGCTTGAATTTGGTAATCAACCTCCTGATCACAACTACTAAATTGTTTAGAAAATTACAGGATTGTACTCTTCAATTGCTAAGTTCACAAATGATGTCACTGATTTGGTGAAAAACACAAAATGACAGATTTTTAATATAGAAGTAATTGTGGACTGGATTTTTTCCACTTTTATCAAACTCTTGAACATGTGAATGATTAGTAACAACATTGGCTTTGATGTACAGTTGAAGTCAGAATTATTAGCCCCCCTGAATTATTAGTGCCCCTGTTTATTTTTTTTCACCAATTTCTGTTTAATGGAGGGAAGATTGTTTCAGCACATTTCTAAAAATAATAGCTTTAAAAACTTATTTCTAATAACGGATTTATTTTATCTGTGACATGATGACAGTAAATAATATTTTACTTGATATTTTTCAAGACCCTTCTATACAGCTTAAAGTGACATTTAAAGGCTTAACTAGGTTAATAAGGTGAACTAGGCAGGTTAGGGTAATTAGGCAAGTTATTGTATAACGATGTTATATTGTATAACGATTCTGTAGATTATTGAAAAAAATTAGCTTAAAGGGGCTAATAAGTTTGTCCCAAAAATTGTTTTTAAAAAATTAATAACTGCTTTTAATCTAGCCGAAATAAAACAAATATAACTTTCTCCAGAAGAAAAAGTATTATCAGACATACTGTGAAAATTTCCTTGCTCTGTTAAACATCATTTGGGAAATATAAAAAAAATAAATAAAATAAAATCGAATCAAAAAGGGGCTAATAATTCTGACTTCAACTGTATGTTAGAGTTTCATTTTTTTCTTCCTAATTTACTGGTGGCTGTTTTTTCCCCATTGACTTTTATTATAACCACATTTGATGGTGCATACATACACAGTCTTTGTTTTTATTTACTACATGTAGTTCTGAGAGCTGAGATGCATATTTTGAATTTCTCAGACACATCGAGGTAAGTCCTTAAAAGTATACACACACTTTAATTAGCAGTTATTCTCCATTTAAAATTCAAGCTTTTTTTTGCACAGACCTATTTAAAGGGTTAACGATGCAACATGGTAAATTCCCAACAAGGAAAACCCCTAACAATCAAAAATGCATGACTATATGGAGTCATGGTTTTGTAATCAAAAAATGTGGTTATAATGGAAGTTATTGGAGCAAAAACAGCCACCAACAAAAAATTAGGAAGAAAAAAAGGAAATTAATTAAAAACCACGTATCAAAGGCAATGTTGTTTTACATGTTCAAGACTGTGATAAAATGTTTAAAAAATCTAATCCATAATTACTTATTAAAAATACGTCATTTTGTGTGTGTTTCACCAAATCAGTGACATAATTTATGAATTTAGCAATTAAAATTAAAATCCTGTAATTTTCTAAGAAATTTAGTATAGTTTTGATCAGCACTAAGATTTATGAAAAAAAAAAAACATATATATATATATATATATATATATATATATATATATATATATATATATTAAATATTTATCTGATGCATTTTTACAGCAGTATAATTCAGTGAATGTTTACATCCTGAACAAAATATATATTTTCTCAAAATATAAGAATTCTCAAATAATTTATTAAAGGGCATCTATGATGAAAATCAAATGTGTTAGCTGTTTGAACAGAACTGTGTGTAGGTATAGTGTGTCCACAGTCATATTGGAGTGATATAAGGACAATAAGTCTCTTTTTAAAATTTCCTGACGTTAAAATAGGACCCAAATCCCAATGATTTTGAGGCTCACCGCAACGTGACGCAGGAGTGCGGTTTTCCCCGCTCACCGAATTGATTGACAGGCACGATGTTTATATAACATCATGTATACACATGTCCACAGAACATTTTTTGGCAAATAAACTGGGATTTAAATATGTTACAACTCTTTGTGATTTTTATAAGTTTTATAAGTTTAAAACGTTTTTAAAACAGAGCATGTTTGCAATACAGTAATATCACTATGTAATTCTTAACTGATATTATCACCACGGCTGCATGGTGTCAGTGAACGCGCACATGTGTATGTGTCTGTACTGCAAACGGTATTTGTGTGAGACTCATTAATTCAGAAAACCTTGAATCAACTCCACCACCAATACATCAAATAAGATTACTCGGTATTTTTGACTAATGAGCTGTATTTTAGCTTCATCTGAGTCTTTGTCTGTCACTGTGCTGTTTATCTGACGTAAGGCACGATGAGAAGCAGACATGCACTTTAGAACGGTGGGCAGGGAGAAGCAGTTCATTTGTATTTAAAGCCACAGGCTACAAAATCAGCAGTGTATTCAGACACCAAAAGGGGCAGATTCTGGAGGCTATAATAATAATCTGATGGGTATTTTGAGCTGAAATTTTACAGACACATTCTGGAGACACCAAATGTTTATTTTACATCTTGTAAAAGGCGTGGAATTGTATAAGGTGATGGTGTTTTAAAGTGTGAAATAAATGAATAGTCATACTCTGTTCATCCTTTCAGAAGTATTCGTCTGAAAGACACTGTATAGCAGCATGTGTATAAAACATACAATTTTAAAGAGATTATATAATGCTGTTCGTGCTTTCAACTTTCTGTAATGCGTAAAGTTTGAGTGTTTGAGCATGAAAAGATTCAATGTAAAGTTACAAAGTCACTCCAAAGGGAGTAATTCTCTGATACGCAGCAAGTGTGGGAGCAGCAGGAACGATGTGTTTTTGCATCTGCATGACAAGGTACAGCATGGTTTAAAAAAAGATCAGATATTTTCAGTCAAAAATTTTAAGACACATCGGGACACCTGGGAGTTACATTACATCTTGTAAAAAAAGCATATGTGACCCCTTTTCAACTTAGCTTCAACAGATGCTTCTTTTCCCTGGTGAGAAAGTTTTGAGTTCTGAAAGTCAGCGACGAAATATCTTATCTCAAAAGATCACTTTATTTCTCATGGCTGTGACCCTTTTAACTGTATGAAGAAGGATTTTGGTCTGCCCTTATTGTCTGTCATTTTACTTTAAAGATCTTGTTAACTTTTTCCCGGCCCACAGATCCAAGGCTCAACAACACAATCGTGCAGGGCTTTTGTGGCTGACTCTCATTGTCTCTCACCCTGAATTATTTATAGCTTGTCTGCCCTTGTTAAATTTAGTCTGTGAACTGCAGGGATTGTCTCTCGCTGTGTTGACTGAGGGATCCTGCCATTTGTCTCTCATCACTTCAGATAGCAGGAAGGATTCCACCCTTATCACATACTTACTGCACCCAAACCACAAAATCCAACAATCAATCCCCAGGATTACGCTGCAAACCTCCTGGGGCACAGAACATCGGATAGGGTTCTTTACACATTGGTTTCATGGTGTCTGATTTTTGATTAGAAGACAAATAATTTTTTGTGTATGAAGGGAACATATTCATTTAATTTCTCTTCGTTTGGTTTCTTTTTATTGTCTGATGGATTGCAATTGTTAATAATAGTTTAACTTTAGTGTTTGGTGTTTAGAGGCACTAGAAATAATTGAAAAACGTTTTATTATGCATTCTTAAAGTTACAGTATGTAAAGGTTGACAATTGAGGTTGTTTATTCAAAACAGAAAAGTTCATTAATGCCAACTTCCCTTAGTAGTGATGGCACTTTACGAACTTTGATCTTAAGCAAGTTAGTTGTAGGCAAAATTATTAGCCCTACTGTTTGTCAAATATTTCACAAGGCTGTTTAAAGGTGCTGTCGTTACGTTTTTGACTCCTTTAAAACATAAAATTACCATCATATGTTTGCACCTATTTAGGAAACATTCCAAATGAACATACTTGTTGATCTGAAAAGCAATGCTGAAGTAGAAGAAAGCTGACTTTGTTTTGGTTCTTTTAACCCGCCCAATGCCAGTTTAGACTATTATATTTCAGCACCCCGGGTTGCCTTGATGGAAAACAGCTATTTTTTTCATTAATTCATTCAGAAAGGCTCTCAAAGCATGAGCCCATGATCGAAATCGACATCTGGTGGACAATAGCAGAGTCTGAAATGAGACGCAGATTCAGAGTTCCACACATTGGTTTCATGGTGTCTGATTTTTGATTAGGAGACAAATTAGTTTCTGTGTATAAAGGGAACATATTCATTTCATTTGTCTTAGTTTGGTTTCTTTTTATTGTCAGATGGATTGCAATTGTTAATAATAGTTTAGATTTAGTGGCTGGCGTTTAGAGGCACTAAAAACAATTGAAAAACATTTTATGCATTCTTAAAGTTACAGTATGTAAAGGTTGACAATTGAGGTTGTTTATTCAAAACAGAAAAGTTCATTAATGCTAACTTCCCTTAGTAGTGATGGCACTTTACGAACTTTGATCTTAAGCAAGTTAGTTGTAGGCAAAATTATTAGCCCTACTGTTTGTCAAATATTTCACAAGTACTGTTTAAAGGTGCTGTCTTTACGTTTTTGACTCCTTTAAAACATACAATTACCATCATATGTTTGCTCCTATTTAGGAAACATTCCAAATGAACATACTTGTTGATCTGAAAAGCAATGCTGAAGTAGAAGAAAGCTGACTTTGTTTTGGTTCTTTTAACCCGCCCAATGCCAGTTTAGACTATTATATTTCAGCACCCCGGGTTGCCTTGATGGAAAAAAAGCTATTTCATTCATTCATTCATTCATTCATTCATTCAT